TATCTGAGTTAAACTTATTAAATCAAATCAATTACACATTATATTCATATTAAGGATTGATAATCTATAAACAAATTAAACTGAAACTAGATTCTTGTTTTTTAGTTTGTTTCTTTGTTTATTTTTTTAATCGGCTTGATCATAGTTTGCTTTTAAAGTTGTTAAAAACTCAATTTAGTTTTAGTTTGTTGAGAATTTAAGTTTAATTTTATTTTTAAAAATTACTTGTGTGTTTCGTTCTTGATGAATATAAATGAGCCCAATTTTTTTTTTTTTAACGAGTTCCCATAATCAACATTGAGTTTGATAATTAAACATAACGAATAGGCTTCTTAATTCATAAACAAACTTGATTTAAAGTTTAATTCATTAAGTTTCAAGCAACTTTTGTGAAAATAGGTTTTCCTTTAAAAACAAAACTGGTGAATGAGAAATATGAAACTCCACCTCTGCCAAAATAGTTTTGGTTGAGAAGAAAATTAATGAAAACAAGGGTTGGACTTGCTTGAATTAGGCTATTAAATGTGGATTCTTTCCTCTAAACACTAGCCCACCTAAGTAAAAGTGTGGATTGTGTTTTTTCTAAGCGGTTGGTATGACTTGACACAGACGTTGTCAATTGATGTAAGAATTGTTAAACTATATCCATCACGGGGGCATTGTCCTCTTTTGCAACAAGACGTGACTTCGCTCAAGATTTTATGTTTTGAAAAAATATTCCTTGACAGGGAAATGATTTACCTTTACTTATAAGCTACAGTGCAATTAATCTATTGAATTTGGATCCTTTCCCCTTCAACAAATTGCTTATCTATATATGCTACATGAGATCTTAGAGAGTAGAGTGCATGAGACATTATAAAAGATTGCAGCACAAGCAAAATTCTTTTGGTACAGCTTTTATTTTGACAAACTTCCATGGTAAGGGAATTCCCTTTTTTTTTTTTTTTTTTTTTTTTTTTCTTTTAGGGTTTTGTGAGCAACTCTTTTTTCTGCAGCTATGCCCGTATCTTCTTTGAAAACAGCGGAAGTTATTATTATTTTTTTACAATAAGCCTCAACAAAGTAGTTGTAGAAGTATTTTTATTCCTTCTTGAAACGTTCATTCCATAAATATGTGTCCACAAAATCACATGCATGAATCAACTTAATTTTTATCATTTCAAAGAGCATTTAAACCCAACTCTTGCCGGTTCTTATATGAACCAAACATGTAGGATATTTAGGTTGTGTTTGAATTAAGTTATTTATTTTTGTAAAGAAAATGAAATAAAAATATTTAAATAAATATTTTCAATATATATTAAATTGATCATGGATTGCTATAACATCTATATATTTATATATTTATGTGGGACTTAGAATGATTTAATTCTTATCTTCTATTTGGGATACCAGAAGAAAGTATCACTCTTGATCCAAAATTCTTTACCCAAATCTTAACCCATCGTAGATTGTGCTACTTCAACCCAGCCCTAGTTTCCCTTTTCTTATTAAAGAAAGCCTAGCCCAAGTTTTAAATCTCTTGCTCTTAGTCGTATTGAAATAATTTAGGTTTTTTTGAATTCAGAGACTAATTTATTTATTCATGGAATTATCTTTGAAAGGATATCTAGTTAATTAAGTTTAAAAATTAAATCTCAACGAAGAGAAACCACCTACGATACCCAAACCCAAAAATTTCGTAACGAGGGGAGCAAACTCAACCAAATGAGCTAGCCTCTGGTTGGCTCTTTTCCTAGATTGTTAAGTACTACTAGAAATTAAGATTACTGAAAATTTTACCCCCCGAATGAAATTCTGATGAAATATTCAACTTGCAGCTAGTGATCAATGAATTCAAAAACTATAGCCTTATGAAAAACATCAGCATAACTCATATTCAAATTATCGAAGTTAACATCAAGAACTTCAAGACCCATGACATGAAGTAGCAACAAACAAACAAACAAACAAGGACAAAAATTGCAAACAAATAAGCTCATACCTACCAATAATACCATGTATAGTCAAAAAAGGGCTGGGAGCTCTGCCTGCTTTTCTTTTCAGTATACAGAAAGTTGAAATATATCAGATAATAATGTTACATATCTGAGATTGTAATCATTCCTCATTATTATTATTATCACTAAAGATATGCAAACAACATTGAATATTTGTACTTTAATTAGATTATGATTGCATCACTGTTGTTCAAGGAGATATAGTTATAATAATAATAATAATAATAATAGTGTTTTCTTTCTTCTGTTAGTTTTCCAGTAAGAGCAAGAAGGAAAAGAATTATTCTTTACAGAATAAGCATCTTTCTTGTTGTCTCTTCTATGTTTGTTTTTCTTTGAAAATTGAAGAGAAAAGACTTGTATTTCTTCATATTTGGGCTGTAAAAGACAAAACGTCCATGATTCCACTTGGGTTAAAAATTTTTAAGGCTTTAGGCTTGCAGCAGAAGGTCAATCTCCAAAAATTGTGTGGCCTATATGCTGAACTCAAGGGCCACTTTCACTCAACAAGAACAGCCCAATATCCAAATGAACCCATCAATTGTTAAAAGCCCACCAAAACCTTTTTCAGTTTAAATGGAAATATATCCAATAAGGCTTCCCTTCACCAAATCAAGAGGAAAAAAATGACAAAATGTCCATGTGGATTCCAAAAATGACGGTGGTTTATCACAATATGAACAACTTGGACGAAATTCACTATACATATTATTTGCATTTATGAAACACATGTTATCATCCTTTTATAAAAAAAAAAAAAAATTGAATTGTTGTTTTATAATTGGCGAAAATAATTTCTGAGCATTAACTTTTGAAGAATCAGGCATATCCCTAACATCTTGATCGAGGTAGGAAAAATTCTTCATTAGTTTTGTGCGGATAACTTGAAATTTGAGAGCCTCTGGAGTTTAGCTCTAATAATATATAGAGAATTGGTGATAGATAGAGTATTTAATTTTTATATCGAAAAGAGAGTAAAAAAATTAAAATATAAATTTAAAATTTAGTTCAATTAATTTATAAAACTGTATTTAAAAAATGACATTTAGAAGGTTTGAGATTAAAATTTCAACATTTATAATTTTTTTTATCTATAACTTCCATTCTACTAAAAAATTTTCTAATATTATTTCTTTAGATAAATTACTTATTCTTCTTCATATGTTAAAAAAAAATGATTAGGGTATGAAAAGAGAAAAACAATAATACTATTACTCCCTCTATCTCATTTTCTTTATCCATTTGTTTTGGGATGTCCCAAACTTATATCTTATTTTCTTTTTTTTAACTTCTTACTTTTTGATATTTTAAAATTATTTTTTATGATTCTTTTTTTACTTTTTGACATTAAAAATCATTAAATTTTAATTTTATAAAAAAATTTAAAATTTAATATTAAATACATTAAAATCAAAATTTTTTTTTTTAAACTTCATGAAAGTCAATACATGACAAACATTTTAGGATGAAAGGAGTAACTTTTTGTGGATAAATTAAAAATGGGTAAATTATATAAATATATCTTGTGGTTAAAAGGGATTTGAATTTGTCCCATGAGATTTAAAAAGTTATACTTAACTATCTTGAGATATTTATCCATGCCAATCTGTTAATTTTCACTGATGCTGTTAATACTTAATCAATAAATTTCAACTCTTTTCTCAAAACTTTTTTTTGTTTGCTATTCCTTAAATTCAAACTTTTCAAGAAAAAAATTTTTTTCCTTCTTCATCATCAATTCTTTCTCTTTCTTTAAAACCAAGCAAATTCTCTGTCTAAAAACTAGACATATAAAATTATCTAAAACCAAACAAATGGTAACAATTTTGATAGCAATCAAATCGATGGGCGGTTAAATTTTTGTGAAAATAAGGTTTTTGAAGCTACCGTTTTAGCTTTTTATCATATTTCTCAAACATCACAAAATCTAGGTTTATTCTTCACCTCCTCTTTATTGTTTGGTAGCATTTTTTTCATATGGTTGAGATTTGAGGATTGATTTTTATATTGTTGTATTAGATGAGGCCTAATTACCACCCAGAAGGCCTTTTTGATGAGAACAAGTTCTCTAACACTAAAAACTCAAATGACGCTCAAAGCCCATAACTTAGTTGTGGCACATGAATGGTAAATGTCCATAAGAACCATTCCCATCAGACCATCAGAAGAACAAAGGAAAAAGATGTTTTGAGGGCAAAAGAACCATACCCATCGGCCATTAGTCAAAAGATATGGTAAAAGAAGCATAATGCCATCCCTCAACCTAAGTTTGCAGATGTTGATAGGTATTCAATTTTCGTGTTAGTACAAATTTGAGAGAATGAGATTCAATCTTATAACAAAGATATAAGAAAAATTAAGAGATGGAGAACTTTTGGTTTTAGAGAGAGAAATTTTCTCTGATTTTAGAAAGAGAGAATAAATTGATGATGATGAAGAAAAAAATAAAAAATAAAAAGTAACTGAAAAAGTAATAATTTTAGGTAAAAAAATAATAAAACAAATAAAATAATTAAGTGTTACTTTTTAAATTTCAGGTGCAAACTCAAATTACACTTAATCATAAAGTATATTTATATAATTTATCCTTTAAAAAATTTATTATCCAAAACAAGTAAAAGAAAAGCCAGCTAAGTGAGATTATTTATTATTAAATGGCTTATGCCATTGTTCTTAATGCTCACGTGCAAGGTTTCTGTTCCAATTCATTAAATCCTTGTGCGTGTGTGTGTGTTTTTTTTTTTTGTCTTGAAATTTCATTTTTATGCAACGGTAAGTGATGATTTCAAAACATGGAAAAGGCAGCAGAATGCAACAAAAACAATTGATGCTACGTGCTCCTTCCTTCCAGATTGGAAAAAAACTATTCCACACTAGCTGGTTAATTACTTCCAGGTTGCTTCGGTAGGTGATCATCAACAAATTATCAACTCATTCAATTCAACAACCAAAAAAATAAAAATAAAAAGAGCCAATCCATCATTTAATTTTCATGCACTTAATGACAACAGTGGAACTTGGACATGCAATATTATACATTCTACAAAATTTACAAAAAACATAAAATGCAACTTATTGTTCATTATACAGTACCAATCGACATATATATATAAGAATTGTTCACCCTTTCAATTTTATTGTGAATGTTTTTCGAAGTGTTCTATATATATATATATATATATATTAATATGGTTGTCTGAATAATAGGGTTCATTTGGCAATGTGATGGGAGGAACTTCCATCTTGTCATAACTACGTTATATGACGGGACTTTCCTCCCATCATAGTGCCAAATGAACTTAGTAATAGTAATTATAAGGTCTGGTTGACGGCTACCAGAAGAAATTGCTAAGCTGGGAATTAGAAGGTTGGGAGTCATCGAGATCGTGAGACGGGGAATGGACGTGTCTGCCTTCGTATGTGGTTATTACCATTCTAGGATCCTCTGCTAATCTCTCCACTCGCTTCTTTACTCGACAACTATCTTGCGTACAACGATAGTAGCTCCTGCATACAATTATTTTTCCAAAAACAAATACATTTAATAAATGTGAGAGAGAGAGAGAGTTTCTGGTTCAATTAATGCATGTGAAATTGATTTAACTTGCTCATGCCAAGACAATATATATGTCAATGCGACATTAAATGGAGATATGGTCTGCTATTGATATACAATTCCAGGGGCTTGTTTTTCCACCTATATAGCTTATTCTGAGAATTTAGAAACTGCAGCGAATTCTAAAAAACTAATAGCAGAAAAGCTACTATATATTATTAAATTAAGAGGAAATTCACCACTTATAACTGGGGTCTAATTACATTATAACTTACTTAAAATCCTCCATGTACCAATTACCAATGAAAATCAGTCTTAAAGTAAATTAACGTTTATTAAAAGGCAAAAGTGTTATTACATTTGAACTCTTGGCAATTAGGTCTTTTTTGGTTCAACCATAACCAGTCAAAATAACTAGTACTTAATTTCCTTAAAGATGTTTGTAGTAAATAAACTCTAGAAATACCCTAACAACAGTGAATGTACCATGAATCAGAATATGAGTTCCAAAGTTACATCCCCATCTCCAAAGGGAAAAGATTTTAGTTTTGAATATGACTTTCAACATATTTTGAATCGACAACATACTCTAACAGGGCTTTGCAAACAGAAGAATTTTTTAGTGTTTAATTTTTTCCTATTGACTCATCCTTCCTCTAACGTAAACCAGGTTTTTTTTTTTTGGTAGAACATGGTAAAATAAAAAGTGATCAAAATAAACAGTTGAAAAACACACAAATCCAGGACAATGAGATATGATTAAGCACAAATGCGTCATTCTCAGAAGCCCATATTAATAGGTGCATAACTATGCAGTCTTAACTACTCATTTAGAGCTGAAATCATTGCCTTGACTTTTTTTCCCTACTTTGTAAGAAAGTCTGGTGGTTTTCTACATAGTGACAAATCAAGAGTGAAATCTTGTCAACAAAAATGAGTAAACTACACTGTTTAGCTTAGCAGCAGCTGCAAAATGCTTAGGATTCAAACTCTATAAAGCACTCGGGAATAAAACTCCTATGGTCTACACATTGATTGTATCTTTTTAATCATCTCACTTAAAATTTATAGGTAATTAGTGAAAGGGTCCAATTTAAATATAAAATCACGGAAAATCTTATATTACAGATGTCAGTTAATACCATTTTAACAATCTTTCATCATGTATAAAAAGAGACAAAAACCTATCATGTAATAAATTTAGAAATGTAACAAACAATAACAACAGAACAAAACCTAGGCTTTGTATCAAGTTAAACATCCAATATCCAATCTAAAACCAATTAATAATATGTGGAAGAACACAACTTGAATATAAAATCATATAAAATATAATACTTATAACAGATGTAGGATAATACCAATGTAACATTTTAATCTTATCAATAGTTAATTTATATCTATATATCATGCCAATTAGTGAGGCAATTTAGCATGAATTATCAGTTCATAAAACGACTTTGAAACCACGTCTACATTCTTATATTTTAATTAGTTTTTTTAAGTAAGGATTTGAACTCCAAAACTCTTACTCAAAAGAAAAGCATATCTTCAAGTTACAGCTTATGGCCTCCTTTGTACCGATAACAATAAAAATGAAAGACATAAAAGCTGTTAAAGAGATGATATTTTCTGACGACGATTACACAGTAAGTCAGTAACCTACCGTATACAATTAGACTCCTTGATGGCTGTTATCCTCAAGTAAGTATATTCTCTTCTGCCTTTGAAATAGAAAATTATTCTAATAATTAAAAAAAATAGTTTCTTAAAAATTTGGAGTAAAATATATCTAATCAATGTGTATATTGCCCTTCCAGGTACAATATTTTGCATATCGTCAATGTTCAAAGAAATAAACATAGCCTAAATCTTCTTTGTGGTACTGAATCTGTACAAACTCGGTTTAAAAATGTCACTGTTCTAGTCTAAATTTTCTTCATTTTAAAATTTTTCTAATTATTATGTTTAACTTTTGTCATCCTGTTATGATGGCTGCTTAATTTTTCCTGATTCAAGGCATGAAATAGTGAACCTTTAATTAATTAAAGAACATATATACCATTTTTATTCTGGCATTGTTAAAGATCTTTTGGCTTCCTTTTTATGGTGCATTATAATTGATCAATTGTTGTATACTTTTTTACCTCTTTTTTATCTCCACATTGTAACTTTGTATCTTTTGAAGGTAATAATTATCATGATTAATATCCCCTTAATTATCCTTTCAGAGATCTCATGCAATATCAGGCCTGTAAAGCCTAAGAGTCATGATAACAAGTATAATTACAAGACAGAAAAAAAGGAAGGAAACATAGCAGGTGTATGGGGTACAACTAAGGGTAAAATTTGATGTGAATGTTAGTAACTTTTCGTTGAGATTTAATTGTTAAAAAGCCAAAAAAAAATTTAAAATGTGTAATTGATATATACCTGGGATGCTGGGTGTTCTTTACCACTTTCTGGCCGTACTTTCTCCACTTGTATCCATCATCCAATACATCCACATCGCTCATGGTCTTGAAGCAAAATCTAGGTTCCCTTACCTTTCTTCTTGCTTTTATCCTTTTCATTTTCATTGCAGAAACGGCTAAATGATCATCTACACCAATTTTCTTGCTTGCCAAACACTCGTTTACCTCTCCCCATGCCCTAAAACCATATCAAACAAAACCTCAATATCATTTACTAAGATACAAGGAGATATATCTGCTTGGAAAACCAATTTTTTGTTTCTTGGGTGATTGAAATATAATTAAAATTTTTTTTGACTTATGAAGAGTTAGTAAATATTTACTATTTCATTTTACATGCAAGCCAAGAAAAGAGAGAAAGAATAAAAGAATAAAACCAAGAAAAAAGTAAAATAATAATAATGAAAAAACGGAAATTAATCTTTGCATAATTATAATTTTAAAAGTGCAATATTTTTACCAGAAATTTGCACTAGATCTCTGCAAGGAAAGGAGTTGGGGTCCTCCAAAATCAGAAGCAGGGTCTTCTCTATGCTTTTGAGCGGTGGAAGATGAGAGTAGGGTTTCAGTCAGATTAGCAGCAGAAGATGCATCAGCTTCAGCTGCAAGGGGAGCTGCTGCAGCTATATTGAAGGCTTTGAGAGATTGATGGCAACCTAATCCTAATGGAGGGCAGCTCAAGTTTGAAGGAAAAGTAAAGAAACCCATCTGAGTAGGCATCTCTTGCTCCTCAAACAAGCCCTGGTTTAGCATGGCTTGGGAGGTTGATGACATCTTCTTTCTCTCTCTCTCTCTCTCTCTCTCTGGAGGCTGGAAACCAATTAATTCAGGTGTTGGTTCCCATTATATATAGGAGGAAATTTCGGTACTAGGGATTTTAAATGATCGAATACAAATAGAAGGAGTCTAGATTAAAAGAATTGGCCGAGGGTCTCTCTCAAACTTCTAGGATTGATAGGCAAAGAGAATTATATTACTAGGATTTGTTATTATTACTATGAAATGAAAGTAGTAACCAAATACCTTTAATGTGACCTACCACTTTTCATTTTGGCTCTTCTTTCTCTTTTTCCCCACTTTATGTGTGGAAAAAACTACTTCTATTACTAAAAACTTAAAAATCCTTCAAAAAGTTTACTGTCTCATGTTTTAGAAAAACAAAAACTACTATAAGCATAAGAAATGATGGTGTTTACTTGGAAGGATATTGCTTGTTTAATATCCAACAACTTTTATCTACATTTATCTGGAATTTTAAATGAAATATTTTAGAAAAAAAATTTATGTAATTCTTAACTTGATGGAAGCAAGACTTGCCAAAAGCTAAGATGGTTAATTTATCATACTTGTCAAGAAAAGAAAGTCAGAAGACGTAAGAAGAATTAAGATTGCAGAATATATTTTGAAGCTAAAATCAATAACGTATTTAAAGAAAAAAGAATCCATTATGAAAAAAATTTTAAAGAGATTAACTATATATTTAGTGACATTCATCTTTTTATACTTCATAAATACTGACTTGATCATTTAATTGCACATACAATTGTCTAATTCAAGATCATGTGTAAAGCAACATATAAACTATGATAATGTGGTTAGCAAGGTATAATAAAAAGAAAGGGTGTGAAATTAAAGGGCTAAACTGCGACATTCAATTAACTGTTTAGGCTTCTTTTTATTTGAAATTACTGTTTAGACTTTTAATTGATCAGCAATGTGCGTTTTTAGAGTTATATGTAGTATAAGACAGTTTACTTTTTGACCTTTAAAAGCATGTAAATTTCATGTCTCATTTGTTAGTGGAATTTTCCTGTTTTAAGTAGGTCAACAATAGACGACAAATTGGGTAATTTGTAGAGGCTTTCCTTGCTAGATTGCATGGAAAATCCATACACTCCAGTGTCATCAAAGTTGGCTAAACCTACACTCCAGGGTTAAAAAAAAAGAAAGAAAACAGATGAGTACACAAATATTAGATGGAGAAATCTTAAATATAATCGGGCATAATGATAAGTGAAAATATGTACACACTATCATTCACCAGAATCATAATTTTTTCTGTCATTTTGTGGGTTTCTTTTTGTGGGTATAACTTAATTTTTCTAGGGGCTTTTTTAACGACAAAAAGGAAAAGAGAAGGAAAATATCAAGGGCAATGATGATGAATCTTGGGTGCAAATCTAGCCCCTCTGCCATCAGCGGTGAAGATATCATTATGATTGATGAAAGAGGCCCTATTGACTTTTGGCAGAAAAAAGGCTTCTCACCTTTATCTTCATTTCCACCCTTTTGCTATTTCACCTTTTTCATGTACTTCTTCCTTAAAACAAAACCAAAACCAAAATCAAATCCAACCCCACACCTCTCTCTACCCACCATTTCTCAAATTCCAAACCCACCCCCATTATATTGTTATCATCATCTCTTCAATTTAACATAATAATAATAATAATAACAATAATCCTTTTGATAATTTTCAATTCTTAATTTCCTAAGTAAAATATTCCTTGTGGACCATACAATTGCAAACAATTCATCCAACCATTAATGGGATTAATTATATCTCTCTATTATTCAACAATTATGTTAATTTGGTACTTTTGCTGGTAAATTTTGGGTAAAATCACCAACTTTCACTTATTGGAAAATAATGAGTGTCGGCATATGATGGGTTAAAAATCATAGACATGTTATAGATTAAAGTTGGAGTTTTTGATTAAAATCATCATGAGCAAAAGGAGCCTAGCTACAATGATATGTATATTATATCATGCAAAAGAAAACAATAATTAGATGCTGTTTAATTTATAATTTATAATTAATTTTTCCTTTGGGGGATAGAAATTAATTTGAATCAATTATGAGTTCTTTATATTTCCTTCTTCCATGCATTGCTGAAAGCATCTAATCAATCGAGATGACAATAGTAACTATGCCAACTGAAAGAGGGAGACCTCAGAAATAATAATTTAATTAATATTAAAATAATTAAAATAAATGTTCTATATGCTCTGCTAGAGAGCTACAGTTTGTTTATTTTGTAAAAAAAAAAAATTATAGAAATTGAAGAAATTTAAAAAATAAATATAAATTATAATTTTTTACAAGTCGTGATAGAAAATCCTAACAATTATTCAAAAATTTTTTTTTTATCTCGTTTGCTTTCTTTTTATTTTGTTTCCCTATTTTCAATCATTTTTTTTTCAATCAAATAGAGTCCAAAATAATTTGTTGGCTTGCAATACTTCATGCATGTAACGAGTAATAACCAATAGCATTGATCCCATGACCATTATCTAATGCAAAAATACGATATTGAGAGTTCACACATTAGCTTATCAGTTGGGAGGAAAAAGATTTATGACTCCAACTCATATATATTCATTTAAATACCACACTTAAAAGAATTTTTTTAAAAAAAAAATTGAAAGGAAGAAAATCTAATAATCAATTAAAAAATAAGTACATATTGAATGTTAATTTTTTTTTATAATAAAGGTTGTCAAATTATCAAAGATTAAATTTTAATTATTAAAATTAAGCTTTTAATAATTTATTAACAAACTATATAAATATTGGTGTCTTAAAAATTTAAGATATCAATTATATTGTATAATCAAAAGTCATCTTGTATTTTTTTTGGGGTTAATTGATGGACCTTATGATTTACAAAATCTTGTAAAATTTTATAAATAAAATTGGCCAAAATTTAAAGAAACCTTTTGTTGATACTAATTGCTAAAAGAAAGTTTTTTAAACCAAAGTTTATTAAATTTTAAATAGTACTTTAAACTCTCAAAAAGCAATCCTAATTTTTGCTCTTCCATTTTTTTTATTTTTGGTGTTGAAGCTGGCGTGGGACTAACGTAGTGATGATGTCACAATGGTACGTACAGTGGGAATAATATCGAAGCATAAAATGCGGTGACCCTTTTTGGGGTCTTTGATTTTTTTTTTTTTTAAATAAATTTAATTAAATATGGTAATGATATACTATATCAGACTATCAGTATTCTTTAATTACATAATGGGGCCTAATATGGGGGGGGGGGGGGGTGGCAAACTCCATCATTTCATTTTGTCTCTGTTTATAGGTGGCCATTATGTCACTTAGATTTCTTCTTTTCCACCATCTCACTGCTTATCAATTAATTACCAATTTTTGGGTTTTTCTTTTTTTTAATAAAAAATTTAGAAATAAATAAATTGCTACGTTTGTTTGTCAGGTGTTTATATTTTGAACAGCATCAACGACAGATCATCCAGGCTCCAATCTAAAATATTTTGCTTTCAGGATGAATGATGGAATCGACTGTCAATCCCGTTAATAGGAGCCTTTTTTTTTTTTTTAATTTTGTTTTTCATTCCTAAACCGCTGTTTTCAACCATATATATAATTTTTTCTATTTTATTTTACTTTTGAAGAAAGAAACATAAATATCCAATATTAAGAATGATGACGGAACAAATATTTATTATTTTTAATATATTTGAATTTAAATTTATTTAATATTTATAATATTTTAACATATTTTAATATCTTTTTAAGTTTAATATTATTATTTAAATCTAAATCTATTTAAATAAGTACTATCCATTCAAATATTTAAATTCATAAAAATATTTATTTATTTAATTTTTTTGGTTAAAATATAAAATAAACAAGAATCTTACATAAATATATAAAAACTAAAATTTTTGACAAAAAAAAAAAGAAAAGATCCAAAATGGATGGTCTATTATTCGGACATGTGAAGGATTTTAAACAATCAATAAGTTTAATTATTACTCACTTGGATATTACATTTATTAAATATGAATGTATCAAATAATTGATTAAAGAATCACTTCTTAACTGTAATTTTAGTGGTTGTTACATTTTTTATAATATTTCTGATTAGATTTTAATAAAAGTCTTTTGAATCTTAAAAAATGTTTAATGACTATAATTATATCATTAATTAATTCTATGAATTATTACAAAATTCTTTGATTACAATGTATCATTGATTTAGCTTTGATTTATAATTTAGGATATTTTATTGGAAAGGTATGCCAATTGAAAATTTAAAAGAAAATAAATATAATTAATGCATTAAAATTTTTAAAAATTTTATGAAATCAAACCAATTCATATAAATTTAAAAAGAAATAAATATGAATAAATATAATTAATACAAAATACATGACGATTGATAAATTTAATCCACATGTCAATATTATAAGCCATTCACATTGGACAAATCTTTTTTTGCCAAAAATTTTGGCTTTTATAAAATTATATGAGATTGATTTAGCTTTAATTTATAATTTAGGATTTTTATTGGAAATAACAAGTCAATTGAAAATTTAAAAGAAAATAAATATAATTAATGCATTAAAATATTTTAAAATTTTTATGAAATCAAATCAATTCATATCAATTTAAAGAGAAATAAATATATGAATAAATATATTTAATATAGGACATATGGCGATTGATAAAAGTTATCCACATGTCAATATTATAGGCTATCAACATTAGACATTTTTCTTTTTTGTCAAAAGTTTTGCATTTTATATATTTATATAAGATATAAAATGTGCAGAAAAAAACATACCTAACCAAACCTATTAAAGTCTTAAATTTGCATTTAATGTTGGATATTCGAAGTATTGTGGTAATTAAGCACATAAATATATACATGTACATATAAAATTTTACTCGTTGATTGAATATCGTCCCCTTAAATTTTAAGTTAATAATCACATTAACATAACAAGAGAACATTTATTTCACTTTTTCCTTAAATTTCATGTATTGTTTAATGTAGTCAATTAGGTAGATTAACTTACATTTGGATAAGAGTATTTGGATCAAAGAAAATTCAAGTCATTTTAGTTTTGATTCAAGTAAAATGTTGGATTAGTTTACTTCAAGTCAAGTTTTTTCGAATTGAAAAAAAAAATTATCATTTCAAGTTAGAAT